ACCAACTAAGAAACCATTAAAATTACCGATAAAAGCGATTTCGCCACAAGTGGTGGTACTACCAACTAAGAAACCATTAAAATGACCGATAAAAGCGATTTCGACGAACATTTTAAGAGTGTTATGTCCACTTGTCTGTAATCATACCTTCACAAAAACAAAAAAAAGAAGAAAATGAAAATACCCAAAAAATATGAAGGGCGACGGCAAAAACATAGGAACGAACGTGTTTACAAGGAGCGGGATCATGCAGCAGCAGTAAGCCCCAATGTGAGCAGCAAGGGCTCCAAATAGAGCTAGGTCTTGTGCTAAGCCAGATGTTCACACCGAAATCCAGCAGTAGCACACCCTAAGAAGGACTGCAGCTTGGGAAGACCAATACGATGAAGTTCAGGAGGGGGATCAATGAAGTCCATGACTTCGTCAAGGATAAAAGCAACGTCCACAAAGCTATAAAGGAAATGGTGACGGGTATCCAATCCGCCATGATTTCTGCCGAACGTGAACAAGATGCGCTGAGGACGAGAGCCGTGACTGTCGAAAGGGCACTGATCGAGGCCAAGGAGAAAGACAGAAGCACAGGAAACGCCGAAGGAATCCCGAAATCCACGATCGGAGAAAGGGAAAAGGGAAACGCCAGGAGAGCTCAGCCTTCAAGGAGCTCGTCGAAAAGTCTCTTGGCGAAGGGGCGATCGTAAGAGCTCTATCCCACGAGGCAGTGGTCGAGTGCAGAGATCTGGACGAGATTACTACAGAAAAGGAGCTGCGAAGTGAGTTGAGAGTGCACTGCAATCTGGGATAAGTCACGATGTCAATCCGGATGAGGAAGGCGTCCGGCGGCATGCAAACGGCGGTGATGCGGCTTTCGACAGTTGCAGCGAATCTGCTATTGGATACGGAATAGGTCAAGGTTGGGTGGACAGTGTGCTCGCTGAAAGCGAAGTGTGCTCGGTCAGCAGGCGAGGAACTTCAATCCCTAATTAACAAATACCATAAACGAACTGTATCCCGGATGGGTAAACTATCTCACAAATGGTTTGGATGATACCCTGGAAACGTCGTTAAGTTATGCTGGATGGACTTACTAAGACCGGTAGTCATTGAAGGAGACTTCAATGCTTGGCAGTAGAGTGGGAAACAGATGTTCCAATGCAAGAGGGCACAGTCTGCTGGAAGCTCTGGCAAAGCTTGAAGTTATGCTGTCCAACGAAGACACCAGTAGCACTTTTCGCAGAGATGGCCGGGATTCCATTATCGACGTCACTTTCTGCAGTCCGTCGCTGGTGGCAAACATGAATTGGAGAGTGTGCGAAGGGTATACCCATAGTTACCATCAGGCGATCTTATATGGCATTGGCCAACGGAATACCGTGGCAGTACGGAGGAAGAGAGCTTGCGACCGGAAGTGGAAAACAAAAGCTTTCGACAAGAATATTTTCGTTGAAACAACGTGCTAACGCTGAAGCTGCCCAAAGGTGTTGAGATCGTTGGGTTTGCAGACGATGTCGTCTTGACGGTAACAGACGAGACGCTGGAAGAGGTGGAAGTGTTGGCAACCGAGGCGATCGACATGCAGGAGTGAAGCTGCAGATAGCCCACCACAAAACGGAAATGTTATTGACCAGTAACTGTAAAGCGGTACAGCGGGCAGAAATCACCGTCGGGGAGCACGCCATAGCCTCAAAGCTTGTGTTGAAATACCTGGGAGTGATGATCGATGACCGGCTAAACTTCAACAGTTACGTCGAATATGCCTGTGAGAAGGCTTCTAAGACCATCAACGCGATAGCTACAATCATGCCAAACAACGCTGGTCCCAGCAGTAGCAAAAGGCGTTTTCTGGGCAGTGTGTTATCGTCGATACTGAGGTATGGAGGTCCAGCCTAGGTTGCAGCGCTGGAAACGAAGCAGAACTAAATGAAACTGAGCAGTACGTTCCGGCTCATGGTCATGCGAGTCGTGAGTGCGTACAGAACCATCTCGTCGGAAGCAGTATGCGTTATCGTCGGAATGATCTCTATAGGCATCACCTTGACGGAGGACAGCGAGTGCTACAGGCGGAGATAAGCCGGAAGAGCATGGAAAGTTGTGAGAGCGGAGTCGTTGGCTTAGTGGCAACCGGAGTGGAATACTGCGGAGAACGGAAGATGGACACATAGACTCCGGAGTGTGGCAAAGTCGATGAAACGCCGGAGCATGTGGTCTTCGACTGTCCAAGGTTCGAGACAGTGCGAAGGGAGATGCCCGTCGTTAACGTGGAGAATGTCGTCGATGAAATGTGTCCAGAGGAGGGCACTTGAAATGCCGTCTGTAGGGCAGTCGCTCAAATACTGTCGGAGTTGCAGTGAAAATGATGAGAGGATCAGCGTTCTAGTAACGTCAGCTAGCGCTGTGACTATGAGAAGTGCATGAGCACAGCCACCCCCCGAAGTAGTCGCTTCACGGGTCCCGGGGGGGATTCAAACAGAGGAGAGAGTAAGCAAAGGGTTTTAGTGGAGCTGCACTAGGCAACTATTTAGTGGATACCACACCGTGCCAACTTCACTACAGGCCAGGCTTTTGAAGCTTACGTTAATGTTAGACTGAAACGTTTCCTTAGAGGCAGGCCCTAAGCCTGATCTTCTACTATCAAATGTGATGAACTAGCCTATGGCTAAAAATCACAAAATTAAAGAAAAAAAATTTTTTTTTTGAAGCTTTCCTAAACCTTAGTATAAATAAAAACATACCTTCACTAACGCAACTTCGGGTAATCCGCGAAAGTATTTGTCTTTTTCTCAGACCCTTTTTTATCTAACTGCAATCACTCTCTCATACTCGAAATATTCCACGACCAAATGGGCACAACGATGACCTATACACTCTCTGACCAAAGCTAAGGGAGATAAATTTAAGAAATTTGAATGGGAAAAGTTGAGCCTGGATTACCATCTACTTTGGGAGAATATCGAGTTAAAGAGAGAGTTCGCTGTATATTACATTTAATAATTTTTACTCCATATAACATTTTGTACTTACGGTTGGATCTTACTGGTAAGATATTGATGGAATAGAGGTCGACTGTAGAGGTTTAGACTAACTTTAACACAAACCAAGTGTCGAAAGTGTTGCTATGCCAATTAAAATTATCACCGATTGCCTGCGAAAAGCGATTTCCCTTACACTCCCTAGATCTTTCAAAGTTGAATTCCATCCGGTCTCACCAAACGGTGTTCATTCAATCACCGCGTGGTGTGCATCCATAGAAGGAGAAATAAGCCGCACCGCTATTGATTTTAAATCAGTAGTTCTTTGTGAGCCGCTGTGGGCCATCTATGTCAAGCGCGTCATACAAAAGAGTATAAACAGAGAGAACCCTCCTACACAAAAAACAAGCTCCTGCTGCAGTTAACATATAAGATTTATTATATAAGACCACGTAGTCCTACGTCACCATTGCGTACAACCCCATAGGGCTGTCCATTGTAATTTTTTTTCCTAGATTTGTTTTCCGTCGATCTTGTTTTCCGTGCTGAGTACCAATGCTACCGTCGCCAGGGAGGCAGCTCCCACACTTGGACTCTACCTATCGACCCATCAACTCATGAACCGGGGACCAACGGCTTTACTTCCCTTCCGAAGGAAGGCGTGATCAGAGAGATGTTATGCCTCAGAACATCCCGGTGGCGCCGACTGGGATTGAACCCAGGCCTGCTGAGGTGAGAGGCAATCACGTTTACTACAACACCACCGGCGCCGCTAAGTAACAATAATAAATAAATAAATTAGTATTGTCACATTAATGACCCTTCGCTCAATTTCAACTTCTGTTCAATTTTCACACTGCCGTACTCTAGTATAGCGCTAGAGTTTTTGGCCACGCAACTGTGATCGTTGCCTCACTGTGCGCTGATAGAACATTGAAAATTTTATTTTTTTTTGTCATAAACAACTTCAACCATAGCCGGTACCGTTGCTATACGTTCATTCTAAACGTTACTTTCTAGTCAATAGCCAATCGTTAAAAATGCTAGTAAATTTAAGCTTCCACTAGAGTCAAAGCTATTGCTATATAAGTAATAGTTTTTAAAGTTCAAACAGAACCGCGGACAAGTCAACCCAGCCCGGAGGGTAAGTCGGAAAATATTTTAATTACACAAAGTTATTTCAATTAATAATTCACCATTCGCCAAGTGGCATCAAGGGACGGCGTGCCTTTCGGAGAAGCATGGAGCCGACTGTTAAACTCCCTCTTGACAGTCACACTTTTGATTCTCTCCGACTATTTAAACAATGAATATTTCAAAAACGTGAAGGAATTGTTCCCTCAAACCGAAAAATCCTAGGTAGGTACTTGACTTTTGTTTCAATCTTGGATGCAGTAGGAGCGGCACCATTTTGGACCAAAGCAGAGCAGAGAGAGCAAATTGGAGTTCTAGAAAGGAAAAACTGAAAAGTTTCACTCACTGAAAAGGATTTACAGAGGCTACACTTTTTGCTGTTTGCTGGCGCTGCTGTTTCGATGAAAAGAACAACTCGCTTCGAGTGTATTTATTTTTCAAACTGTGAACTAATAGTGAGAAAGAGTAGAGTGCTACACCAACTAACAACGTGGTCCTTTTCTGTGCATTCATAAATTATAAATAATGAAAAGCTCTCGACGCCGTCGTCGGGTTGTCGGGAGAACTCGTCGTCTTGGTGGTCCGTCTGCGGGAGCGATTCTCCAATGATAAGCTGCCTTAGAAGAGGAGCGGGGTGGTGTCATGGTGATGTCTCTGCTACAGCAGTCAGTGTACATAACTATTTTGGTTACAAGTGCCGCTCGCTGAGCTGCCACTTGGGTGATAGAGAGTTGGCACTTTGTGCGAAAAGCAGGTGCTATTGTTTAATTAAATGAATTAGTAACAGCATTCCCTCGGAAGCCGAGCCGGTTTGGCTCCCGGCGGTGGTCGGTGGACCGTTTTTGAATAAATAGTTTGCTCTTTGCCGTTGTTCAAGTGGGAAACCTCGGAGCAAACCAATTAGCCAGCAACTTGTTTCAGGATCGTGAAATAGCTGTAAGAAGCTCGGAGAATCTGCAAAATGCATACAAGAGAGTGAAAGCATGCTGAAGTGGATTCAGGGCGGTTGGTTTTCCGGAATTTGTTTGCCTACCGCCAGGAAAGTATCCAGTGACATTGCAACAATAAAGGCTTTCATTTTGAGCGGTTTGTTGGTGTAGCAGATGAAGGTGATCAGATGGCGATTAACCGAACGGGGGTAGTTGTACCAATCGCTCATGAATGCCGAACTGGAGAGAAGGTTTGCCTAAGGGAGAAGACGGGATCCGTTTGATGGTGGTAACAAGATTGACAAGCTGCATGGCGTGGATGCCTCACCTGGTAGTGGATTTCGTTGGCGTGCCAGTAGTATAGAAAGAGAATGGCCGTCATTGTCATGATGTAGCAAACGTCTATGAATACTTGTACTATTGATTGCGTCTGCAAAGACATATGAGAAAAGATTGATTAGTGATTACAAAAGTTTTAATTTTAATCAGCTACATTTTGTGCTCAATTTGGGTGACACGCTAGCTATCTAATTGAGTGCTTCTTATCTTATAGTCTACACATCATGAACATTCTGTGATCAAATCTGTTAATGTGTTATTAGGGAGCATCCATTAAATACGTCACATTAAATCTAAAGGAACCATTAATACTCGCTTCTCGCTTTTCTCCTTACCTTATGACAAATTTCACGCCATTTGGATGTAAATCTTTTGCCTATTTATTTTCCCAAAAAATTGAGACTATCATTTGAACATGGCGGAGCTTTTGTGTCATCTCATGAAATCTCAGCAGATGAATTTCATCCCAAAGCGGATAAATTGCATTAAGGTCCCTTTCAAATTTTTTAACCATTTCGGCTAATTAGGCAAGTTTTGCTTAGTATCTCAGTTCCGTATTAACGGTAAGCTAAAGACACCCGTCTCAGAGACATCAATCACATCCATTTCAATGATAGTATATGTTTCAGAAAATTAATCTTTGATTAGTTTTGTATCGAACATTAAAGCTTTGAAAACTTAAGCTATGAAAACTTAAGCTATGAAAACTTAAGCTATGTAACAATTAATACAAGTTGATAACATGAAAATAAAAATATAATCTCCACATATACTGTCAGATTGCAGTTACGGCACCTGCCCGGCCCAAGTAGCGTAGCAAAAATCTCTAGCGCCGGGGGCATATTTTCCACACCTCTACAATAGAGCAGTACACGGTCCCTAACCTCACTTTTTGGTTCCAATCATTTTGTCTCGGAACGGAGAACCAAAACAAACCACCCAAAATTGTCAAGAGTGCAGCAAATCTTCGTGCACTGATCTATTTGCAGTTGGCTCTTTCATGTGTCCTTTATGTGTAATGAACAGCGTTGCCAGGTCATTTCCGGAAAAATCTGGACCAGTCTAAATATAAAATCTGGATAAATCTGGAATGCTCAAAAAAAATCCTGTTTTTAACATAATGCTACTGAAATCAAAGTCAATCTCCCGTAAAAATCGGTCAGTATGATCATCTGGAATTTACTCAAAGTCTACCAGAATGTTTATGAAATCCTTGTTTAAAAAAATATATAAAACCAACTGATTAGCATTTCTTACATTATCCAAAAGTTAAGAAAAGTATTGACACATTGTTCCCAAAAAGTTTAAATATCCATTACGCAGCATTTAAAAATTGATTAAAATTTTTAATAAAATACTGCGGAAAATATTTTTAGGATAGCAAAGAGTCAATCAACTTTGATGGGATGCTTTTTTTTAACTAATAGTCGATTTAGTCCTTAATATTTGATGCAGTACCAGAACATGTCTTAAATTTTTATTAGTTTTAAATAATTGTAATATTACTCTGCGATCGATCAGACTTCCAATTTCATTCTTGACATCATACAACTCACAACACTAGGTAGACCATTAGGCAATCTTATGTTAAACTAAAATTCTCCTGGCTGAAGTGAGAATCAAAGCCTAACATCGTCGTACTCACACACAGTTTACCTAACCTACGGGTAGCTCCACATGACCATTATTAATAATTTTATGCCAAAGAATAATATTATTATATAACTAAAATGAAAGTCTCAGGATCTTGAAATAATTCTAAATTATGGATTTTTTTTCCTGGGTCCCAGATCATGAAATTTTTTGTTAGTCTGAATTTACTTCGTTTACAGAGTTCAATTTGAATCATCCTAGAATTTCATCATACTTGTATCTTGGATTCCCCTAAACAAATCTTGATTGTATCCAATCATTTTCAGGAACATTCTAAGAGTGCTTAGCATTATCTCTTTTAATCTCTTATAAATCACTCTTTGGTTCCACAATTCTCTCAAACTTTTAATAATTTCCAAGAATTGGCATAATTTTGTCTCAATTTTTCTCTATGAAATTCCCTTAGAATATTCTCTTCAGTATACTCTTAAGTACTCAAGTACTTTGTCAAAATAGCCTTGAAAGTCTCCCAGAAATTCCCAGATTTTTAAAACTTGATAAAACTTAATCTCCATAGAAACATTAGACAGAATTCCATTGAAATTATTCTCACGATTCTATTTAAAGATCTAATTAATTATGATGCAATAATGTCCAACGTTGATTGCCTTTAGTAATTAAAGTAGTAAGTTTGACTTTTTTTTATTAGAAGGTCTATTTATTGCAGTGATATTTATGAAGGAACACATTTTAAAAATCTGGGAAAAACTGGAACAATAAAAAAAAAAAAAAAAAAATTGATGTAAACGTGATCTGTCTGTGTATCTTGCTAGACGACTGAAAATCTGGAAATCCAGATAAATCTGGAATACTGGCAACACTGGTAATGAATTAGGTGTACGCTTGTTCTGACAGCACTCATCACCAGAGGGTTCTTTAAATTACTTATTGAGATCTTTTTGAATATCTCGGATATTTTGAGCCTTCAAAATCCTAAAAAAAATCTACTTTAAAAATGTCTTATGGTTGATACTCTTTCGACTAATGTTTCCATTTTCTCACCGTTTTCGGCTACCCATGAATCGAGAAACTGTCGATGGCTCTTTCCGCTAATTCTTGGGGAATCGGGAAATACTATTTAAACATTATTTAACTTCCTGAAGTTTTTGATAATTGTTTAACTACCTGAATTTTCTTCTAACTTTCTCCTGGAATTTTCTTCCACCTTACCTCCTAAGCTATTTTCCGATTCCTCCCTTCTTCAGCCTTCGCTGGAAAGGTTCTTCCCATGGTGGGTATATACATGGTGATACAGCTTTGTCACTATATTGGCGAGGAGGTCACGGGGGGGTGGGGGGGGGGGTGCGGTTTAGAGCAAATTGTAAACAAACTCGGTCGCTTTCGCATACAAAAATCCAACATGGCTGAATCATGAATTTGACACATTAGGACACCTATATGTAGTCACCTTAGTTCTTCCGTCTTCTCCCTCCAGTTTTCAACTTCCCCAGAACATCAGGGATGCTTCTAGAGTTTTATTGCGGATCCACACTAGCTTCAGGAAAACTGCAGGAAATTTTAAGAAGTTCTGAAACATCAGAATCGTCCAGGCTTTTGGGAAAATTCAGGAAAATCTAGCGAACTCCAGTGAACCTAAGGAAACATCAGACATATTTTGGAAACTTTACAAGTTCAAAGAACTTCTGGGACATTTAATGGTTTTCAGGACAGTTCCATTTGTTTCAGGAGAAATGAGAGTTTTGGGAAGCTCCGAGAACATCAGGATAGATCAATTGATTTCAAGGAAGTTGCAGAAATTTTAAACGAGTTCTTAGAAACTCAGGCAAATTTAGGAAAGTAAGGGAAGTTGCATGAACATTAGAACATTGTGAGAACATTTAATGGGAAGTGCTTTTTAATGGCAGTGTCGAGAACCTTAAATTTTAAAAATAGGGAAGATCAGTGATCAGTGTTATAATAATTTCTAGAAAACTGTGAGTGCACTTAACAAATTTCGCAATATTCAAGAAAGTCCAGAGACCTTCAAAGATTATTAGATATATTCCAGTAGCCTCATTATAATCAGGGAAGTTCCAAGCACTTGGAGGATGATCAGAGAACTCCAAAACAGTCCTTTTAACTTCAGGAAAATTACAAGAATTTTTAAGGAATTCCGTGGAATTATGTAATATTCCTAAGTGCATTTCAGGAATATTCAAAAAAACTTCAGTTGCATTGCTTCTTCTTCTTCTTCTTCTTCGCATTTCAAGCTTATTACATATCGCATATTAGCTTATAGCGTGCTCTCAACTTAGTGTTCTAGATGCACTCCCACAGTTATTAATTGAGAACTTTCGATGCCTGTACCATTTTTGCATTGGTATAGTTGTGTGGCAAGTCTAATCATACTTCTATGCCCAGGGAAGTCAAGAAATTTTCCAACCCGAAAAATTCCTAGACTGGACCGGGAATTGAACCCAGCCACCTCCAGCATGGTCTTGCTTTGTAGCTGCGCCTTTACCGACTGTGCTAAGGGAGGCCCCAAGGGGCATTGCGAGGTCTCAAGTTTTGTGAATATCAGAAAAATTTGCTGGATCATTAGAACATCCCCGAGAAATCTCTTTCTTTCGGAATTATGCCCTTGTTTCTTTCGACTGTTTTGTAAGCGCTCTAGCATCCGACTTTCTCCAGAAGTTTCTTCCAATCTACCTTAGGAAGTTTCTGCCAGCGTTTCCAGGAGGATTCATCCGTCTGCTCCAGGAAGTTCAATTAAACTTCTCCCAGAAGTTTCTTTCGTCTTCGCCTGGAAGTTTGTCCATAAGCCATTGGTTTTATTTTTGACTTCTATTGGAATGTTTCACTGAGCTTCTTCTGGCTCCCTCTGGAAATGGCTATTTCTGGAATGTACTTCCGATTTCTGAAACATTTCTGGCTTCTGGCGTCTGAAGGAAGCTAGTTCGAACATTCCCCGGAGTTTTCTTCCGGAATTTTCCGATCATAGTTCAAAAGTTAAAATTTTCGCTTTCAAAAACGGCAAAAATATAAAAATAATTAAAATAGTAATTACCGATAAATACCGATTTTTAAAACCTTTCATACCGATAAGCTTTAAAACAATCTGGCAGCGCTGGCGCTACACTGTACCAAACCACCGTTCTCTGTTCGAATGAAACCTCAGACCATTCAAATCGAAACATCGAAATCGCCTTTTCGAATGATAGCTGCAACCGGATGACGGTTGTTTTGAAATCAGATGATTTTCCTCTCGAATACACGAGGAACATTGTTATGAAAAGGGATAGGGCCTTCAGTTGGAATGCGTAATGCTCTCTGCAGAATGGTATTCATCTTAAATTGGAACTAATTTGGTATTGGCTCAGCCCCTTAACGCAGATCAGACGATGATGTAAATAATTCTATCGAACGTTGTTTGGTGCTCTGAGCAGACAAAAGAGGTGGAAGCATAGCCATCGCTATCAGAGGTGGAACGAGCATTGGTTAAGCGTGGAAACCGTAAATTGTCTACTAACCGATAAGGGATTTTGATATCCATGATTAATGGCTGTTCATGGCTATTCAATATGGAAATGTTAACAATCGAATTAATAATATAATCTAAAGCATTTGCAAGTCATCCCATCATTAAATTGATTTCCACTGAGTTCCACTCTAAACTGTTCCCCTGGTAGAGGAGAATTAAGTTCATTCGAGACGGCACAAAATAACCATTTCAAGCATCAATAAGTCCCCGTTACCGCTTACCCTCACACACCATTGTCTGTAGGACTCAAGACTACTCTCTTATTTAAAAGAAGTGAAGTGACTATACAAATCATTTTCTTTCTAATGCCACTTCAACCTACTTATGCTTATATCATATCGTATAAGTCCGCAAGAAATTGAATAAAGTTTGTTCTGTACTCCTGTCGTTGTATAATACCTCACGGATTTAATCAACGACACCCATTTCTTCCCTCAATTGTGCTCAAGCCGGGCACTCCACCAATAGATGATTTACATCTAAAACCGCACCGCATCCCTGGCAGTAGGCCACATTGCCGCTAAAACATGGTCCATGAGTGAGCCGTGTATGACCAATCCTCAGCCGAGTCAGAACTTTCTGATCTCGAGAATTGGGTATATCTTTCCACTATTGTGTAGTGTTCTTGATACTACGCAGGAATGCACCACGGTTGTTATGCCAAGATACATTCCGTGCGTATCGCGAGGTCTGCTTCACCCAGCGGGTAGCGTCACTATAGGGCACCGAAGTGGCCTCTAGTTGAGCAAGACGACCCTGGTTAGCTAGCTTATCAGCAGCCTCATTTCCTGGTATACCTGCGTGCCCAAGTACCCATACAAAGGTTATGTTAGCGTACCGTTGCACCTCCGACAACCACGGGTGTCCAACCCGCTCATGCTAAAGGGTAGAAAGACAACTCGCAGAGTCAGAGAATACAACGGCCTGAGACCGTTTGCTAGCCTGCAAGCTTGCAGGAGAGCATAGGCCTCAGCTGAGAAGATACCACAGAGACCGGATAACCGGCCGCAGCGGCTTATGGCCTCCCCAGACACATATCCAACTTCCTCGTCGATCAAAGAACCGTCCGTATATAGCATGGGCCTTCCCTCGTATGAGGCAGCAACCTCCCTGAATGCAGCTTTCGCCACACCAGAGCTGGCCCCTGCCCCACACATAGCTTTAACCCTCCAATCAACTTTCGGGGCAGTAGCATCCCATGCCCGTTGCCACAGCCTAACTTGCTGAGCTAACGTGGGAAAATCTACTCCCGTCAAGTCGCTCATCCATCCTAGCAACCGTGGGCCTGTCATTGAGGATGGGATCCCTTTCTAACAACCTCAGCGCTTTAGTGGCCAGGTCTTCGGTGACAGCATTCACCAAAGGTACCTTTCCATTCTCCACCAATAGGGAAGCTATTGGTGAAGACCTCAGCGCTTCACTACAAATTATGTACGCCTCATTGTACTGAGGTTCCAGAATCTTGAGCAGGGAGACACCACCCCTGCTCCACAATTCCGCTCTGTAAAGGATGCTAGGGACAACCAGAGCCCTGGTAACCTTGGTCAATGTGTGCTTCAGAGAAGCGACCATTTAGGGTCCGAAGGATATTCAAGTTGTTATTGACGTTATCCTTCACCAACTTGGTGTGCTTAACAAATCGGAGTTTGCTATCAATAGTCACACCAAGCAGTTTCATCTCGAGCACGGCCTTGACCGCATGCTCACCGATACTAACAAATGGCAGACTCGGTCTGTGATGATGACCAAAGCAGACGTGCAACAGTTTGGACTTCTCGGGGAAAATCACAAACTCAACACTATCTGCCCAGTCAACGACAGACTGCACTGCATCCTGCATTTTATGGCTAACCACCCTATCGTATTTACCTAACACGATGAGGGTAATATCATCGGCGTGTACAATAATGTATACTTCCTTGGGAATGCGTTCAAACACTGAGTTCATCGCAATGAGAAACAGTGTAACCGAGATGACAGACCCTTGCGGGATGCTATTCTCCAGCAACCTCGAGGAAGAGGTTGCGCCTGCGTTAAAAACTCGGAACAACCGGCTCTGTAGAAAGTTTTCTACGTAGCTCTGGAAGTCCCATCTCATGAGGGAAGTCAAGATAGGAAGCTTCCATGTCATATCATATGCCTTGGACAAATCGAGGGAGACTACATCTACATGCAAATCTTCCAACGAGGCCTTGTCCAATAAATGATCGAGCTCAGAGAAGAATGTCTCCGATCCATAGCCGCATCGAAATGCGTGTTTCTGTGGGTGGATCCGTCCTTGCCTCTCCAGCTCAGTTGACAGACGACGATTAACCATCTGCTCGTGTGTTTTTCCATGGCAGCTCAGCAGAGTTATCGGTCGATAACCATCCGTTTGGGTTCTATCCTTCCCAGGTTTGGGAATGGGAATAACCAACCCTTCTTTCCACTCGTCCGGTATCTGGCCAGAAAGCCAGAAAGCCAGACTTCGTTCATTGTGTCAAGAAGAGCCAATCGTCTGACAAGAGGTAATCTCCTAAGCAGGGAATACCCAATGTCGTCAGGGCTAGTTGAGCTCTTCAAGTACGAATACCCTGTTATAGTCTTTAACAAGACTACACTGCCTGTCACGGGAGTAGTGGTACTCCCCCTCAGCCAATCACTGTGATTGCTGTTTGCCGACACCTTGGCAAATTGATCAGCAAATGCCTCACTGATAAGTCCTGGGTCTTTCGTGTAATCGCCATTCAACTGAATCACCCTCTCAACATGTCTATTCTTATCATCGACAGACTTCACCTTTCGCCATAGCTCACCAGAGACATTTACGTCCAGCCCTAATCACCGTATGAACTTCTGTCTCTCACCAAAGGACAGTTTTCATACATCCCCTCCCGACAGTCATATGGATGCTCATCAGTTGATGATCAGTTGAGAAAATCACCCGAAATTCCACAGCATATTGTTAAAGGACTCGAGCAATACAATAATCAGTTGAAGTATTGCGGCTGTTTTCGTTCAGTGTAGCAGCTTTCATTCGTACACGGCCAATGAGATCAATCCAATTTTGAGTTCAGTTTACTCATAATCGCAAAAGTGCAGGAGTGCGATGAGTATATTTGCCTCATGTGTTGCTGTTAAGAAAATGTCAATAATATGCTGGAAAATGGGGATAATTGACGAAAATTAGGAGGAGTAGTAGACTGACAGAATCCAATGTTTACTTTTCTCATATTCGGGTTTCTTCTTGGAAAAACCTGGAAAACCCTGGAAAAACATTAGGCAAATTTATTCATCGCTGAGATCCTGCACTTTTTGCGATTTACGAGTAAACTGAACTCAAATTTGGGTTGATCTCATTGACTGTGACATGGACAGGAGGAAAATTGGCTTAAGAATAGGTCTGTTCCCGTACTTGCTTTTTGCTTGATTTTGCTATAAGTTGCTGAAGCTTTCCGGAATTTGTTGTAAGAAAATAATATGGTGCAGAAGGTACGGGGACATACTTTTGCTTTTTGCGAACTTTATATGATACAGCATTGGCATATATTTGAGTACTTTTTCAAATGGAAAAGATGATACAGTTTTCATGGGTCTAGTGAGGTAAGTGTGCCAGTTTTTGGCCCTAGTGGATGTCCAATTGGACCTCTCATAAATTTCAATTTTGTTAATTCTTCGCCTAATTTAACATAATGCACGGCTAGAACAGAAATTTTGGCAAATATGTGTATGCAAATAATACCATTAAAATTTATTTCAAATTTGAGCAAGTCGCTCGGGCCAAAATCTGAAGCACTAGTGCAATGACTGGCACACTTATCCTAAATGGAGATGATTTTTTTTATCGTAATGTCGGATTCCATTTGAATATATATATATATATTATTACATACCATTGACGCTTCAAACAGGAGAGCACAAAGCAACACTGAAAACACCACGAAATCCATGAACACCGCAGCCCTGGTCAACCCTTCCAACTCCCTTGTAAAGTCGTAGATCTTATGCTGCTGTTGAATGCATTCTATGATCAGCTCCCTTCGAATGGTGCAGCGCTCCTCTTCCGGATCATTAATTTTCTTTATTTTGCGTCCACTCCGCAGCCCAGAAACGACGTATTGATCCAAGTGAGCTAGCTTGTAGTTCAAGATCATCAACGCTGTTCGGACGTAAACCATCAAGCTGACCATGAACACGTGCCAGCAGGGAACAATCAACTGACCCACGTACATTATATAGAGTTGAATAAGGTAGATGGGCACGAAGCTGTCCATTATGTTGTCCGTGGGATACCACGATCGCAGGATTGTAGGTGGCTCAAAGGGTTCTGTAGAGTTGGTGCGATCCATCGACTCCAAGCTGTGGTATTGGACCAAAGCGTAGACGCACATGGTATTTGCCGTAACCAGAGCACAAATCCAGAAGACCGCTGTCAGCTGTTTCATATATTTGACGTTCCACCAGAAAATTAACTTCTCCTGTCCACAACCGAATCGAAGAATGTGCTGCACACCTTCGTCAGCAGTCTTTATGGCGTTGTTGAATTCTGCAAAAAAAAAACAATTCATAGTTTTGCTCCTTTTCGTACTTATTTCCTAACTTACTTGCTCGATTCCAATAGAAATGCAATATTCTCAAGATAGTCGTAGTGAAGAGTAAGGTCGTCGCCGCATTTGCCGTCATCTCCCCAACATTTCCCCAAACCTGATACAGATCGACGTACTGCGTCACGTTGAATGCCAACATCGAAGCCGTGAAGCAAACTCCTCGGAAACAGTTTAACTTTTTCAACGGCTGACTCTTGTACAGCAAAATACCATAATACTTGAGCCCGTTGATAGTCAGCTTGAGCAACGGATTGTTGTAAACGTCGTCCTCTTGAATCCATTCGTCTTTCAGCTCCATGTTGACTGTTTCTCGACCTGTCAAACACTGCGAAGACCGCAGTGCTCCTTAAGCCGTCTTATCAAAACCCAAGAACCAATTTAGACGGACAATTAACACTAATTATAATCGAATTAGCGAGCGCCCTTTGATGATGATTTCATGGACCAGTGCCGCCACCGGCATTGCCATCATTATCTTTGCCGAAGGTAAATGCTATAGCTCTGAAATATTCATCATGTTTGAACATATGCCAATGCGAAGGAAGGATCCAAATCCGTCAATACCGGTTAGTAGTGCAGGCCAGGACCGGAGCAGTTTACAAAAGCATAGGTTCGTGCAAGTGAGTATAATCGAACCTGATTCGTAATCATGCGATGCAACTACTACGACGCCGATGTCATATGAAACACGCAATATGTAGGTATAGTGTCAATTGCCAAGTCAAGTTCCTCCTCGAAATGAACGGGGAAATCGGAGGAAGGAAAGTGTGGTCGATATTGACATTTATTTACACCCAGCATCATAATGGTGCGTTCTTACCTTTTCCGATTGTGTCGTTCATGACTGGACGGACTTGAACTGGACACGAGTGCAAGCGGTGAGGAACGAGGAAGTGGTGGCAGTAGCTGGTACATGCAAACGTAGTTCAATTCGAATTCCAGTTCGGATTAAAGGGGATTCTATGCAAGGATATCGGAAATGGCATGGCTATTTTGCTGTTACGGGAAGGTGATTCCTATTGAATGCGAGTGGATGGTTCTCTCATCAAGTGTCTATGAGGTGTGAAGTATGGTTACTGTTGTGTGGTAAAGTTACTTGACAATAAGAGGAATCATGATGGTGAGGTGCATGTGGTGTTGTTATTGAAGATGCAGCAAATGACTGAGAATACGTGATTTCTTCGTGCAAACGAAAGTGATTGAATTTTCAGATTTAAGAAACGTGTGTTGTCGATGATTTATAATATCTGTGTTAATTATGACGCTTGATGAAGTAATGTTCAAATCAGAAATAAGGTACACCGGGGGAAGTGGGACCGGAAAAATCAACAGTTTGCTCAAATAAATCTTGTGGTATGCTTGAATTCGTTTGTAATTGATAAAATGCACGCCCTTTGTCTCTATTTTTCGAACAGATTTATTTTTCACAAAATGAAATCTGCTCACTGCGGATGCCTTCCAAATTTATTTAACTTTCCGTCGTAAGATTTGATAAAGAGTAACACATTGTTGAGACGGTGATAACAATCTAACACTGCTTCTTGACCCCAAACTCGGCCTACGGATTCTAAACTCGGCCAAACGCATTGAAACGCAATTGAATTCACTTCGGCCAACATAAAAAACTCGGCAAGTATGATATTCGCACACCTGAAAGAATAGGATTTACCTATCACTTGCGACCTTGATTCAAATAATCGGTCGGGGGGTCTAGAGTAACTTTTTATTTTGAAGTTTTTTTTTGCATATAAGCTATGGTTTTACAATGGTAGCTTTTGAATATCCAAGACATTGGTAGTAAGAGCCCTCATACCCCTGGTGATTAAAAAAGGGACAGTAGAGCGATGAAAAACATGTAAAACAGAAAAGTAGAGAAACCGAGGTAAGTTGAGAAGACTGAGGATAAGTAGGCTTCTCGATTAAATATAATTAAAAGATTGTAACTCTGGAACTTTCATCTTCTGCCATGTTAGCCCAAAATCAAAATGGACAGTTTCGCACGCCTGTTCGTCATATAGCCCCAACCCTGATCCTACGAAATTGCAGAACTATGGAACATGGAAGCGTAAGATATGGGAGCTATTTGGTAGTCCTGCCTGAATCCAGCTCACTGCAAATTCTTCAATTCTCTGAAGATAGCATAGCATAGCATAGCATAAACCAGGTTGCACAATGTCGTAGGTGGTACGAGCTCCAAACTGTTGTTAAGAAGGAGACCCACCTTCATCCGTTGCTGTTAGATAGTAATTTGTGATTAACTACCTCTTAGATAAAGGATGTTTCTCCCTCCAACAGACCAGAGCTGTCCTGGCCACGTCCTTGCATCTGTGTGGAAAGGGGAGGAATGTTAGTCCGACACTTACTTAATAGAGATGCAGAGAACTCTATGACCCCTCATAAGTGTCACGGGAAGGGTGGATTTTTGTTAGTAGGGAAGGTAAGCCATAGGATACACCCAGCCGGCGTTGCTGGCAATCGTTATATCAAGCATTTAATAAATAGAAGCTGTAAGTAGTTTATCTGTCCGTTGTTGCTGCCCATATTCTTCAATTCTCTGAAGATATTCAGAAATTAAGTTTTCTTGAAGGCAAGCTTTGAACACCTCAGCAAAGCGATCAAGTACCTACAAATAGTCGCTTAATTAAGTTAATGATAATAAGAGAAGAGTTAAATTGAATTCTTACATTACTGAAAATACTGAGCGGTTCAGCAGATTTCACCAAAGTCCTCTTTTCCAGTAATTTGTGGCAGTATCTACATGTAAAGTCATACTTGGTATCAGTGATGCAAAATATCATGACACTCACTTGCAACTCGTCAACGCTTCAACCGACTAAAGCTGACAGAACGTTTTGTCACGCAGTGAGAGGTACAGCCATGCCCATGGCAAACAACAATCACCAGTAATGGTCGCTGCTCACAGGCGAAACGTAACACTCCCTGCTGATGATGTAAAGCACAGCGAAAACAGTGAAGACTTCTGCAGTACGACGCACAGTGGTCCAGATCTGTAAAAACCCGGTCAAAAGTGATTATCACACGAACGATGCATTTTAGACATGTGGTGTCTTCAGGAAAGTTTCTGGATATGAAAAGTCCCTTCTTATGACGTTGACAGATCAATGATTAATCCCCCTAGAAGTGAGATCGAAAATTTATTTTTGTCAAAGTTTCATATTTTGGATCGGTTTCTTGGGCAAAGTTTTAGAAAATATCATAACAAGAAACTTTGCTGAAGACACTAGGTGTCCATTTCTTTACCCCATTGAAATATGGAACGTTTTTATAGAAACCCCCTTAATTTAAGTTTTTGCTCTATAACAATTTTCATTTAACTGCTACTGGTTTGAAATGTTCTACAAAATTTTTAAAAACATCAAAACACACAAAATTTCTGAACATTATAGGATACTTAATTGGATAATAGGTCAGTTATTATTGATTTTTCCAAAAAAATAATAATTTTTGGCCACTTAATTATGATTTACTACCATTCTCCACGAAATCCCACGATGAAATCAATTGCAAAATAATCGTTTAGGTGTGTTTTTATCAAAACATTCGACATTTCATGCAGAAACATGCAGAAACATGAGTTAGAGGTAACATAATGCGTAATATGCGATGTTTTCTATGGAAAACACCTTAATATTGTTAACATCCATACCTCTCACGCCAAAGTCACGAGTTCAAATCTCACCCCCGGACAAGTCACGAATGACCCAAGAGTGTTAAAGTGACTTTAATAAAAAAAAAAAAAAAAAAAAAAAAAAAAACCTTAATATTGAGTTTTTCGTACATATAATATTTTTTGAACCTCTACTGCTTCAAAGTAGGGCCACATATTTTCAAAATATTTCACCGTACTGTATTCTCAAATAGAAGTAATTCTTTATTTTTATTGAAAAATATATGTTTTTTCAGTTTGATGGCGATTTGCTGCCGCAAAACAAAATTAAGCTTTCTATATTTTTTCAAAGTCTAACTTCTTTTTCAGTATTGCTAATACTTTATTGTTAGCTTGGCACAATCATGGTTTGGTAAACGTACATATTAAGTAACAGATATTAATTTTATATAAAAACTTGGCTAATTTCAAACAGTCTTTTTTCATGCATTATAATTTCAACAAATTTTGCACAGCATCAGGTAATGTTTGGGATAACTTGGATTTCATTGGTCTGGTCATTGACAAAAGTATATCGCCTGTAATAAACCAAGAGATATGTTATTTCTTATTTTTCATGTTTTTAAAAGAATTTTCTTACCCGTTAAAATTAATCTTTGCAACAGATCCGTCATTGTGGCTTGGCGAGAGGTCTTTCGCATCCGATGCTCTCGAAATGACCTTACATTTTTATTCCGAGTTTCTAACGCTTCTTCCGAGTAAAGACCCATCGGAAGCTCCATCGACTCCATTACATCAGCACCATGAATTAGTATAAAGTGCACTGATGATGGCATGTAGTACCAAGGATACTTTTTCTCAAATAAACGGGCTGTCTCCCGTGCGAATATTCTGAACTTCTCAGTATCAATTTCGCGACCACAGGCTAGAGTAGTTAAAATCACCGAGAATCGCTCCATAACTTCTCTGTCGAACCCAGTGATATCTGCCACAATGGAAATATTATCAAAAAATTTGCGAGCCGTATTGCCATCATTGGTAGTTCCGCTTCCTGGCTTGACAACATCGACGAGCAATCCCAGTTCTTCCTTTAATCGTTTCTGGATCATCTCTTTCCTTTCTTTATACAATTGCTGGTTTACGCTCCATTTTTTAAGCTGCATTTTGTAGGAAACATGCAACTCTAGCTCCAGAAAGCGAATCCGTGCATGAAGAACTGCAATTCCGTATTTAAATTTTGAAGCGTTTACTGGTCGCAATAACACTTGATCCACAGCCATTGCGGATGGAGTTGCTTCACAGGCATAGCAGGTAGCCATCGATGACGTATCCGTCAGGATGGTTCGAGCTTTTCCGTCAATCATGGTCATACTGAGACGATGATATATTTTCAACTCATTTCCATTTTTCAGTTGTACCATGGATGGCTGCAGTGACGCAATTTGGTCAGATACATACTGTTCTTCACAATTCAAGGTTATTTTATTTTCTTTTATGAATTGTATGCGGATAGGCTTGCAAAACCTTGTTGACGAGGGCGCAGGATTTGTCCAAATGGTGATTGGAGGACCGGATTCATTGATAGTTCTCAACTGTAGTGGCACTATAGCTGTCAACAGTACAGAGCTATCATCTGAAGACTCGGAGGAAATCGACTGTTTATACTGTGA